TCTGACCCTCCACCTTACCCAGCATGACATCCTTCTCCAGCGACTGTTCTCTCTGGACAATGTGTCCAAAGTATGAGAGACGAAGCCTAGCCATCCTGGCCTCCAAGGAGCACTCTGGTTGCACTTCTTCCAAAACAAATCTATTGGTACTTGTTCGTTAGAAATACCTTTTTCCAACAACATAAACAACTATACATGTGGACCCAATCCAATGGAGTACATAGGGAATAAATTAACTGCATACGTGAGGAGAAATGATGGAGAAACTGAATATCATCAGTCAAAACAAGACCAGGGGCTAACTGGGGAACAGACTATCATTTGCTCATATGCTGGTTCAAGCTGAAGCTGAAGAAAATTAACACAAGTTCACGAGAGCCAAAATATCACCTTGAGCAAATCCCATCTAAATCTAGAGACCAACTCAATAATATATTTGCTGTATTAGACATGAATGACTGCTTTAGACCAGAAGTGCTGACATCAAGAACATAAACCAGGGAGAAAGCAAAAAGTCATTAAAAACACAGGAAAGAAAGAAACCATGTCAGAGGAATGTTGAACCTGGCTTTTGAGTATAGAGAAGCTAAAGCAACTGGAATGAATTAGAAGTAAAAGAGCTGAACAGATCATTTCAAAGGCAGCTTGACAAGACAGAGTCAAATATTATAATGAAATGCACAAACACCTGGAGTTATGAAACCAAAGGGGAAGAACACACTCGGCATTTCACAAGAAGAAAGAACTGAAGAAAATTTCAAACCTCCACTTGCAATCTTGAAGGATTCTATGAGTAAAATACTGAAAGATATAGGAAGTTTCACATCAAAAGATAGAAGGAATACACAGAGCCACTCTACCAAAAAGAATTAACTGATGCTCAACAATCTCAAGTGGCAGCATATGATCAAGAATCAATGGTACTGAGAGAAGAAGTCCAAGCAGCATGGAAGGCATTGGTGAAAAAACAAGGTTCTAGAAATTAACAGAATACAAACTGATGGAGCGCTGGTGGTGTTCATTCGTCTATGCCAAGAAATATGGAAGACAGATACCTGGACAACTGATTGGTAAAGATCCATATCTGTGCCCATCCCAAAGAAAGGTGGCTCAATGAAATGCAGAAATCATTGAACAGTATCACTAAAATCACATGCAAGTAAAATTTTGCTAAAGATAATGAAAAATGATTGCAACAGTATATCGACTGGGAGCTGCCAGAAATTCAAGTCGGATTCAAAAGAGGACATAGAATGAGGGATATCACTGCTGATGTCAGATGGATATTGGCTGAAAACAGATTATACTAGAGAGATGTATACTTATGCTTTATTGACTATGCAAAAACAGTCTACTCTGTGGATTATAATAAAATATATATAACTTTGGGAAGAATAGCTATTTCAGACCATTTACTTGTGCTCATGAGGAACCTGTACACAGACCAAGACTTCAATCTTTAGCACAGATTCCACCTCAATGTAAAGAAAACGAAACAAAAATTCTCACTAGAGGACCAACAAATAACTTCATGATAAATGGAAAAAAGACTGAAGTTGTCAAAGACCTCACTTTGTTTGCATCCACAAACAACATTCATGGAAGCAGCAGCAGCAAAAAAATAAAATAAAATAAAAAGATTACATTAGGCAAATCTGCTGCAAAAGACCTCTTTACAATATTAAAGTGCAAAGATGCCAGTTTGAGGATTTAGGTGTGACGGACATAAGTCACTGTATTTTCAATCACCTCATATATGTGCAAAAGTTGCACAGTGAATAAGGAAGACCATGCTCTGGTAGCAAAGTGGTTACGAGTTGGACTGCTAATCTTAAGGTCATCAGTTCGAAAGTACCAACGATTCTGTGGGACAAAGATGAGGCTTTCTGCTCTTGTACAGAATTATACCCTCAGAAACCTTATACAGGGTTGTCACATGTCAGAAGTGACTCTATGGCACATAACCACCACCACCATAGAAGAATAGATATATTTGAATTATGGTGTTGGTGAAGACTGCTGAAAGTATCATGAACTGCCAAAAGAGCAAACACATCTGTCTGGAAAGAAGTAAAGTCAGAATGCTCCTTGGATGCGATGACAGTGAGACGTGTTGTCAGGAAGGATTGGTCTCTGGAGAAGGACATCATGTTTTCTCCAGATCATGGAGAAGTGGTGGGTCAACCAAAAAGAGGAAGACCACAATAGAAGCAATAAGAGGTTCAAGCATTAACAATTTTAGAATGCTCAAGATTGGGCGATATTTTGTTGTGTTTTACAGAACTATGCTATGAGTTGGAACCGACTGTACAGCACTATATAGACTGTACTCCAATGTCAGCTGGAGTAAATGATTTATTGAACTTTTACTAATGGTTGAACAATGTGCTAAGTGTTTTACCCACAGTATCTCACTGAGTCCTCACAACAATACTACGATGCAAATATTTTACTTTTCTTCATTTTATAGATAAAAAGCGTCAGTTGTTTACTGTCAAACAAGTAAGAAGGGGAAAGTTAAAATTTAAGCCCAGTTACTTTTCCAGAACCTTTAGAAAATGCTAAACACCTGTAGTTATTGTTTAGCGCCATCGACTCTTAGAAACCCTTTACAGGGTGTCCAAGGAGCAGGTGGTGGGTTTGAACTGCCGACCCTGCAGTTAGTAGTCCAATGTTTATTCTATATCACCACACCAGGACTCCAACCTAAGGGCACATAAAATGTTTTCATTTCAAATGAGGAAATCACATAATTCCACAGGATAGTAGCGTGAAAAGCCAATCTTCTTATGAATTATGGCTTGAACTAGAGATGCAATCTAAGAAATACTGGGAAACTCAAAATATATAGATTATTTCTAAACCTTGTGGTTTTCAACAGTACTCTTTTCCCCATCTTCAAGACTCACCCGGATTATAATACTACAGTCTGGTTCTTTCCGTTCAACATACACTTCAATTAACAAATCTCCAGCCTGAGAAACCTAGAAAAAGGCAAATGTGAAACAGCGTATGTAAGCAAGCACATACATATGACAGTTAAGAAGATTATAAAGCCCTAGTTTTATTGCTATTTTATAATAATGAAATGAGCACAATTGCCCTTATTTTCTGATATGGATGACTAAGGGCAAGGAATTTACTCAAATGTTATAAACAGAGATAATTACAACATGACTTTTAATCTTTTACTTGGAGTTTGGTCTCCCAGAAACCCTCACATTCTTATAGAAATTATTAATCTGGTTGCAATGGCAATATGCTAACACCAAAAACAGAAGTTCTAAGAGTGATCGCCATGTACGCTGCTAGGATAAATGAAACAAAGAGAGAAAAGGAGTCCTAGGTAATTCTGCTTTAGGCTGTTTCCTGGCATAATACCAGTCATTAAAAGGGAAGTTAAGTCCTCCTAAATTTTCAAACTGATCATAGGTATACAGAATGGAAAGGTGAGGATAATTAGGTCAGAACTATATTTAAAGTACAAATAGAGGGCAGTAACTTTAGAAAAAAAAAAAGTGATAGAAGAAGACAGGTATTAAGATTACATTCTTGTTTTAATAATCTTTAGCCAAGCATTATGTGCTATGGTCATTATTCTAGAAGGTACAGTAAGTGAAGGAGACACATGCCAGAAAATTCAAAAAGCATAAAAAATTACTGTTTAGATAGGGTAAGATGGAGAAGGCTAACAAAGAATCATATGCATCTAAAAGAATCTTTGGTAAACCTTTAAAAAAATTTTTTTGAAAGGCAAAATCATGCAGAAATAATAGACATCAATGAGTTTTTATTGTTGCTGTTATTTGCTTTTAATGGCATTAATGGAGAAAAAATTACTCTGAAGTTAAATTTGGATCAGAATATAATCCAATGATAAATTTTTTGGAGGAAAATTTCAGAATGTGTTTTTAAGGACTGTTCTTGATTATTCTACTACTATAAGATTAGAAAACCTAACTTCCAATTTTTCTTCCTAACTTTAGAAGCTACACAAAATATTTTTGGGCAGCAAAGATAGAGTTGACATTTTTGGTTTTCACGATTTTCATATAAACAACTCTCCAGGAAGGACATATTTTAAAAATTAAAAAAAAAAACAAAAAACCACCTACTCAACACACAAAGGACTGAAGCCAAAAAGAAGAATAACTTAGAAATTCAAAGAGGTAAGACAGAGACTGTCAGAAAATACTCTAGAGACGAGTTTTGAATGCATTAGAGAAAAACTCAAGCAAACGAACAATTTTCCAAACTCTTTTACTTTTGTCTCCCAATTACTGTATTTTACAGACAATTTTCTTCTTATTTTTACTAAGATATACTCAGAAACTATTCAAGACTCATATCTTTATAATTAGCATACAAAATATAAAAATTGTTACTACTTTTTTATTAATTACTTTAGGTTAAAATGGGAAGCATACTTCCTTAGGTATTTAAGATAATAGAATTAGTATTTTGCAATGCAGACATTAGAAATGGAAGCCTTATATTTAACCTTCTTCTTATAGACTGATGGCTCTGATAACTTTTCTCATTAATAATGGCTAAGGCAGTACTAAGAACTCAGACTCTGACCAATAAGGGTGCATATGCCTTGTTTTCTGAGTAGTATCGGTGAACAGGACATTTGAACCATTTATTTTATTTATATCGGTACTTGAATTCTACTTACAATTCCCAGTAACTATACGGCTAATGATCAATCTTAAGAAGTTCCAGTGAATATTCACCAAAAGGAAAGGTAGTTTGGAAAATTATAGTACAATGTGAACATATAGATCCAATATAATGTGACCAAGAAAAGATCTAGAAAAGTTGGCTTGAGACAAAAATGAGTGTATTACAAGGACCACATCAGGGACATTACAATTATACAGTAAGTTAATACAGTCATTTAAAAGCATGCAGAGCAAAAGCATATAAGAAATAATTTGTAATTTCTAAGTCATAATGGAAAGAATCATTAAGACTCGGGACTCTGAATTTTCAATTCATTCTAAAATTACATTGGCTTTAGATACGTCTTTGAAATCCGCTGACATTTTCAATGGTGTTTTTACATATGAAATTTGATTTTTTAAAGGAAAACTTATATTTGTGTTTTCCTTTATATTTAAGAATATTTACATTAATATGCTTTGACATTTTGCAGGTAAATAACATGCTGCAGAATTACAGAAAAAAAAAATCCAACAATGATTTAATCTATGCTCTTTTTCATTTTTTCTCATTACTTTTAATATGCTTCCAGTGGAATTTAAAAATAAACACAGCAAATGTCTTCATTTACAGTGGAAGAACATTTATTTATTTAAATTCTTTAGATATCTGACTATTACTACTCACTTGAGTGTCTTTCCATTTGGTAATAAAGCTATTCTCTATGTCCATTTGTTTGACTTGGTCTTCTTTAACCTGTTTAAAATATAATTTGGGAAAATCTAATAATATAGAACACAGGAAGCTAAGGTATTCATTCTTGGGTAACTCTTCAGGATTTTAACATCAACAAATTAAAAATAAATGAGAATGGTCATCTTAATCAACATGTGCCCATATAGCTAGGACTAGAGATAAAACAAGAGCCTAATAAAGTTCAGAATAGTTTCTCATGATTCAACATCAGGCCTACAGACTGATAACAGAACACCCATTGCTAAGGAGATTTAAGAAGCAACAAGGCTGATGAGTGGTTCTGTAAAGTTTATGTAATTGAGAGACAAAACTCATTTCTCCAACTGAAATGTTCATTAAGTGCTCATTACATTTCTAGCATTCAGTTGAAGTTGGGCTTAACGTAACTATGACTACAGCTATTGATTTTCTATTAATTGGAGAGTACCATGAAATAAGAAAGAGAGAGAGCACATAAAGCCACAATTAATTTTTTCCTAAGTATATCATTTCTCAGCATCAGATTTATTGCCAAAAACAGTTGCTACTGATTTAAAACAGTGGGCACATAAAGAGAGAAATAAAAAGGAGATGAAAGAGCAAAGAGAGTTACACCATTCTAGTGTCCAATCCTATACAATACATAAAAACTGCTTTTTTATTAAAATAATTCCTATTTTCTTTGCAAAGGATTCTTATTCTACTGTAGTAAGAATGTAAGAAGTCTACACATTGTAACCTGTGACTTTAACCCATTTGATTTCATGTAATACATCCATAATCCTGAAAGACAACTAATCTTATCTAGAACCATTTCATGCACTATTCAAAAAAGGCTGAATGACAAACTAGCTCTAGCTAGTTAAGTGATGGAGGTTCATCTTTGACTCTCCAAGAAGCAACCAAATCCATTGCTCTGGAATCAGTTCTTATTCAAAGCCACTCAAAAAGACAGAGGACTGTCCCCAAACTTCTCTAAAGCTATAATCTTTATAGAAGCAGTCAGTCACTACTTTCTCCTATAAAGTAGATGGTGGGTTCAAACCACCAACCTTTCAGCTATCAGTAAGCACTTTAACCATGGTATCATCATCAAGGCTTCTTAATTTTGATCCAGGTCCCCCAATTTGAAATACTGTGCTAATTACCTCAATTTTTACTATTTGAATGAAGAAATCATTCTTATTCTAGCAGTTTATTGATAAAACAAGAACATTTTAACTTGAAGTTAAAAGAATAAATACAAGAGTCAAATAATTAAACTGAAATGCCATGGTAAAAGGAATTCAGTATTTTAGAATCTTCCTTTTTTTCCCTATAAAAATAAATAAGTAAAACCTTAAACTGCTTTCAACTGCAGAATTTCACAGCCTGGTTTTTATTACCCAAGTTGTGAAATACATAATTTCACACCTCTAAGCAGACATACTTAATGCATACACATCCTGAAGAGGAAGAAAAAAACAAAAACAAAAACAAAAACATAAAAGCCCTATAAATAGAACAATTCTTTCCAGCAGACACCAGATGGTAAGAAAGTTTTAAAAGGAGCCTGAATATAAATGAATGGCTATAACTTAAAAAGCTAGTTATATCTATAAAATTTAAGAGACAATAACTACCCTTAATTTTAAAATATTCATATAGGCCTCAATAACCCCTACGATACATATACTTGTTTGCATCAAAACTATTCTTAAGAAGGTCAAGATAAAAAATATTTACCTCAAATATTTCAACATAATTATTAATTAGGTCCTCAATAACATTCACTTCTTCACTAGTTTGCCCCTTAGTTTGAAATAAACAAGATGAAAAGACCATAGCCAAATTATGAGCATCCATGTGATTGATTTCTGAGCATTTCTGTACTCTGTTAGAGAAAAACACAGATCACAAAATTGTTAACTATAACATCCATTTATCATTTATTAAAACACACATATTGAAGACCTGTGATAATAAGGGGTTGCTGTGGTGTTCTTGTTGTGTGGTATCTAGTTGCTTCATATTCATATTGTTTTTGCTGTTGCTAGGTGTTGTTGAGTAAGTTTAAACCCAAAGTAACACATCGGTATCACAGAACAAAACACCACCTCATCATGTTGCTACTCTGAGTCCACTGTTGCTGCCACTGTGCCAATCCATTTGGTTGAGGGGTGTCCTTCTTTTTCACTGTCCCTCTATTTTACCAAGTATGACGTCTTTTCCCCAGAGATTAGTCCTATCCGAAATATGAGAGATTAAGTCTGGCCACCTTGGCATCTAAGGAGCATTCTAGTTGGACTTCTTCCAACACAGATTTGTTTGTTATTCTGGCAGTCTATGATACCTTTAATATTCTTCTCCAACACCATAACTTAAATGTAACAATTCTTCTACGATCTTTCTTATTCATTGTCCAACTTGCACATTCATATGAGGCTAAAGAAAAATTCCAAGCCTTGGGTCAGGCGCACTTTAGACCTCAAACTGACATATTTGCTCTTGAACACTTTAAAGAGGTCGTAGGCAGCAGATTTCCCTAATGCAATAAGTTGTTTGATTTCATGACTTCTGCTTCATGAGACTTGATGGTGGATCCAAGCAAAAAGAAGTCCCTGACAACTTCAATGGATACTCCACTCACCATGATGTTGCTTAGTGGTCCAGTGTGACATTATTTTGTCTTTACACTGAGGTGCAATCCATAACAAAGGCTGTGGTCTTTGATCTTCACCAGTAAATATTTTAAGTCTTCTTCACTTTCAGCATGTAAGGTTGTATTATTTGCATATTACAGGTTGTTAATGAGTCTTCCTCCAATCTGATACCAAGTTTTTCTACATATAATCCAGCTTCTCAGATTTGCTCAGCATATGGACTGAATAAATACAGTGAAAAGAATGTAACCCTGGCTCACACCTTTCCCAGTTTTAAATATTCAGTGTCCCCTTGTTTTGTCTGAATGAATGACTGCCTCTTGGTCTTTGTACAGATTCCATTTGAGCATAATTAGACTTCCTGATACTTATTCTCTGCATTGTTGTCCATAGTGTGTCATGATACACACAGGGTGTCCAAGAGTGGTCGGTGAGTTTGAATTTCTGATTTTGCAGTTACTGTTGTTTTTGTTATGTTTTTATTAAGTGCCTTGGAGTAGGTTTTGACTATAGAGATCCAGGAGAGGGTTTCCAGGAAGCAGTTGGTGGGTTTCAACTGACGGCCCTGTGGCTAGCAATCCAATGTTTATCCCTACAGTGTGCCACACTAGGACTCCTAGTCCAGTGCTTATCCTACAGGGTTACATCAGGGTTCATAAAAGATGTAACGGTGATTTAAAAAACACAAAGAAAACTCCACCTGATTCTTCTTTCTAAGTAGTCCCCAGACTAGTTAAGAACATAAAACTATTGTTAAGGAAGAGCTCAGTCAGTTATAAAGTAGTACTTGTTGGTTGATTTAAAGGAAAAACTGGTTCTAGTCAAGGAATTTCAGATAATAGGGCAACCTGTAGTCAAAACATAACGGTGTGTTTGAAGAAGGATGACAGACTGGTAGGAAAGAAGTACAGATGTAAAAGGTATGAGGAGAAGACCTGAGTAGAAAAAAGACAAGAAAAGTACATTGGGAGACATGCATAGTGTTGCTGGTGCTGTTAGCATGTGCCTATGAGTCAATGCTGACTCACAATGATCCTGTAGAGGGCTTCCAAGGAGCCGCTGGTGGATTTGAACCTCCTACCCACTAGCGGCTCCTTGGAAACCCTATACAGACTTTCTACGAGTTAGAACCGACTCACAGGCAATTAAAAACAATACCGTGAGGCTAGCAGGCCAGTGCTTACCCTACACCAGGAGAGTTCCAAATCCTAGGCTCAGGCTAGCTCACTGTTCAGGAATGTGCTTATCAGCTAAGGAAGACTATCTGGCAGCATGTGTTTATCTGGCAATGCAAAATAAGATATTATATCTCAAAAACATTTGAATTTAAAAGTTCTATCACACATTTCTTGGGTTTACAGAAGAATAGTTGTTTATAATGAGATATTTTTTATAGATTTTGTTTCTTCATGAACATAAGAATGCTGGGCAAGATGGTAAGTCACACCCCTTCTTTCTTTATATTTCTTCAGGTTTCAGGAATCTCTCTGCATTTGAAAAAGGGTGCTTTTGGGTCCCATGCTGTCAAATATGATCAAGCAATTTAACTCTTACAATTAGTGGGCCACAACTCTTGCATCTTACAATGAACAATTAAAATGCTCACAAGTATAAGCTATAATCAATACAAAATTAGAGTGGTTATCCTCCCAAAGGGATTTTTATTATTAATAAAAAATGCACTAGATGAGATGTGTAATACATATGAAAATCTGTTAATGCTCTCTATTTATTTGCCACAGTGTATACAGCAGCTGCTAGGCTGCCTATTTAATTATATTTGTAGAATTCTAAATACAGACTAAATAAAGGAGGCCAAACTCCACCAAAGGAAGGAGATAAAACAAGACAAATCTAGAGACTTGTGTCTATAAAAGAACAGAGATTATAGTAGGTACATGGAAAAGTGAATTTGTGTGACAGCAATATATATGATACTGTAAAACTCCTTATAAATTGCCAAGCTGTGTAGCAGAGACAAATAAGGCAGGAGCAATCATCATATATGATTGACGAGATTTCCACCCACTTCTGCACTGTTCCTAGATTGCAAGCATCTGGAATATTAATCTGCAATGTCTACCTGCTACTAGAATCTCAATATCTAACATCTAGAGACAGTGGCTTAATCACACTGTAGGTGAATAATAAATATTTGGTGAATGGACTTAAATAATGATGTTGATTGTGGGTAAATGCTACCGAGTTACTTATGACTCAGATTGATACAATATAGGGTTTCCAAGGAGTGACTTATGGGTTTGAACTGCCAACCTTGTGGTTAGCAGTCCAGTGTTTATTGTGCAATGCCACACCAGGACTCCTAAGTAATAATGTTGTTGTTGTTGTTAAATCCCATCTAGTTGGTTCCAAATCATAGCAATCCTCTATAGGGTCTCAGAAGAGTAGCTGGTAAATTTGAACCACTGACCTTGTGGTTCAAATGACTTTGCAGTCTTGGGTTTATACTACAAGCCACACAAGGACAGTACTGAGAATTATGGATTATTTCGTTAGGGAATGAGTTAAAGGCAAAATCAACTTGATCTCATCTAACTTCTGACATTGCCAACCATTCCTGTCCTCCTTGAGATTTCTTTTCCCTTTGGTACTGAGTTCGTCTTTCTCTTACTCTTAGTTTCTGTGGCTGCCTTAATTTCTGACATAGATGGGTGAAACATACCATTTCCTTTGCTTCTCTCATCTCTTTGACCCCACATTCTCAAATGTTTCTAAATGTCTTAAATGATCTATCAAGACTTACACCAGCTCCTGCCTGCCTAATTTCACAATCTCATCTCCTGGTACTCTTGGTTCCCAAAAGATATCCTTCACTCTTTTCGCATGCTTATATTTCTCTCAAACTAAATTAATATAGCTGTCAATTTGAAGCACAGAAGTAGCCCCTTGACCACAGCATAATCACTTAATATCTCTTCTATGAATTCTATGTTTTTCTGAAACGTTGTTGAGTTGGTTCTGACTCACAACAACCCTGTATAGGGTTTCCAACAAGCAGCTGGAAAGTCTGAATTGCCAAACTTTTGGTTCAAATCTACCTTTTGGTCCAGTGCTTTATCCTACAGCATCACACAAGGACTCCATGTGAATTCTGTATCACCTACTAAATTTATCTACATTAAGATTTATCCCAATATCTCATAGACAAAGAGAAAGAACCATTACAAAGACCATATTTTTATAATATAATGAGAAAACCAGTCTTATAACAACAGACTTTACATGTACGAGAAATTGTTTTTATTGTTATTAAGTGCCATGGAGTTGGTTCTGACTCATTATCAAACCTGCATAGGGATTAAAAGACTTTAAATCTTCATGGAAGCAGAAAGCTTCATCTGTCTCCCAATGAGTGGCTGGTGCACTTGAACCACAGACCTTGTGGTTCACGGTCCAGTGCTTATCATATGGAGCCACCACATTCCCCTATGAGAAGTTGATGTTGTTGTTAAGTGCCTTTGAGTCAATTCTGAACCACAGCGACCCTGTATAGGGTTTCCAAGGAGTGACTGTTGAGCTTGAACCACCGACCTTACGATTCAAACGACTGCAGTCTGGCACATTAACCAGAGAAAACACATTGTGGATACTTTCTAAATCCAGATTCCTAACTGTTCTAATAGAAAGGCATTTATTTACATATAAATGCCATGGTTGCATGTTTTAGCTATTATACCTTGAAAAAACAAAGCACTTTCAGAACTGTTGAACTTCACTTAGCAGAAATACACTTATTTAATTACTCAAAATGGAGTACAAGTTAAGGGTTGAGCCAAAAACATTTTAATTGCTTCTAAAGAAAAGTTTCATTATTTGCATATGAAAAATGACATTTCTGTTTCTTCTTTCCTTGTATCATCAAAAACTGCCCAAAGTAACTAACCATCCTAGAGGCACAACAGTTAAATAATCAGCTGCCAACCCAAAGTTAATAGTTCAAACCCACCCAGTTGCTCCAAGAGAAGAAAGGTCTTCCTTGTAGATTTCAGTCTAGAAAACCCAATGGAGCACTTTTATTCTGTCACCTGGAGTAATTATGATGAAACCAACTCAATGGCACCTAATAACAACAAGAGTATAATTCAGTTTCATAGAAACACTCAGGAGAGTATTTAATCCATGTAATAAGCTAAAAAATTCCTTAACCAAAATTTACAATCAAAATCTTATCGTTGTGTTAGTTGCCCTAGAGTTGGTACTGACTCATAGTGACCTTATGCACAACAGAGCGAAACACTGCCTAGCCTTGCGCCAATCTCACTGTGTAAATCCATCTCATTGGGCATCTTCCTCTATATCGCTGCCTCTCCACTTTACCAAACATGATGTTATTCTCCAGGGACTGGTCCCTCTTGATACTATGTCCAAGGTATGAGAGATGGAGTCTAGCCATCCTGACTTCTAAGGAGCATTCTGGTTGTAATTTGTCCAACACAGATTTGTTTGTTCTTCTGGCAGTCCATGGTACTTCTAATATTCTCCTCCAACATCATAACTCATATGCATCAGTTCTTCTAAGGTCTTCCTTATTTATTGTTCAAGTTTCACATGCTTACGACGCTACTGAAAGTATCATGGCTTGTGTCAGGTGAACCTGAGCCCTCGAACTGATATCTTTCCTCTTGAACACCTTAAAGTAACCTTGTGCAGCAAACAGATTTGTCTTTTGATATGTTGCTTGCTATCTTGACTGTTGCCTCCCATGAGTATTGTTGGTAGATCTAAGCAAAATGAAGTCTTTGGCAACTTCAATCTTATCTCCACTTATCATGATGTTATTGATTGGTCCAGCGGTGAGGAATTTTTTATTTCTTTACATTGAGATTCAATCCATACCAAAGGCTATGGTCTTTGATCTCCATTAGTAAGTATTTTAAGTCCTCTTTGCTTTCAGCAAGCAAGGTTGTATCATGTTCATATTGCAAGTTGCTAATGAGTCTTCCTCCAATCCTGATGCCACGTTCTTCTTTATATAACTCAGTTTCTCTAAGTATTTGCTCAGCCTACAGCACTGTGAAAGAATATAACCCTAGTGAACATCTTTCCTGATTTTAAACCATTCAGTGTCCCCTTGTTCTGTTCAAATGACTGCCTCTTGGTCTATGTTCCTCATGAATACAATTAAGTATTCTGGAATAAAAAGGTTTTATAATAATCCTTGCCATTTGAATAAATAAATAAACCTTTCATTTTAACTTAAAAGTTTATTACTATTTGTCATTCATTAAAAAAAAAAAAATCCAGTGCTAATATTTCTGTATATGCAATTCAGTTACACAGAACCAGATGCTAAAATGATAAGTTTAACAGGAATTTCATTTTGAAATAATTCATTAAATATGGTGAATTATTTAGTCACATGAAGAGGACTGACCATACTTTAGGAAATAATAAAGAGTGGCATGGCTGAAATGTCTAGAAAAGTTCAAGCATCTGCCCACCTGTAAAGGTGTTCAATTATAGCTGCCAATGTCGCATGATTGACCACTGGAAGGCTCCGTATAAATGCTCCATACTTTTTAATTCTTTCCTTGTCATCTTGGTTGTCTAGAGGAAAAAATATAGAGATAGATAGATATTTATGCATACTTTGACATGCTAACTAATGATGCATAGTATAAACTTGTCTTTTAATGGCATTTAAAAATATTCATAATTGTATTTCAGTAAGTGAACAATCAGATTTCAATAGAAAAATATTCAAGCTTTCAAAGAAATGACCTATATGAGGGAACATCAGAAAGTTTGTGGAAGAAAGCAACTAACAGATATTGGAATTTTTAATGAACTTTCTGAATCCCCCCCTGTAGTATAGAAAAGTATTTATTAATATAAAAATCCCACGGTTGTATGTTGTAACTATTAGATCTTGCAAAAACAAAGCACTTTCAAAGCTGTTGAACTTCATTTAGCTGAAATAATTACTCAAAATGGAGTATAAGTTAAGGGATGAACCAAAGAATTTAAAATTCTTCAAAGTAAAGGTTTCATTATTTGCATATGAGAAATGAAATTTCTGATTCTTTTTTCCTTATGAAATCACAACACTCTTCTCATAGCAATGGACCATCCCAGCAGACGGAAACGCCTGCATGTAACTCTGAGACCCTCGCGCAGGGTTATTTACCAACACTGCTACGCCGTCTATCTAGAAAAAATGAAATAACAACAACAGAAGTCATATGCAGACCGTGGGACTATGAGTCACACTTAGGGGATGACCTCTCTGACATTTTAGTGGACAGAACCTGTTTGGTTCATGAAGAGAAGGATGCAGAGTTGTTCCCCTCTGCTTTCTTAAATCCAACATATCAAATACCTGGAGAAACTAGACACAGGACTCCCCCAAGTTTTACACTCAATAAGATGAAGTGTGGTGGTCTGATCTAACATACTCGCTGGCAAGGGAAGTAAAGGACAACTCTTTAATTCATTAATCTGTGTTACCTCTAATTGCATTCATATATTTCCTCTCAATTCTCAACTACATTTGGAAACATGACTTTTCACTCAGAATCACGACTTAGCAGTTACTGCTTCTTGTTGTTCTTGTTAAGTGCTGTTGAGTTGGTTCTGACTCATAGAGACCCTGTATACGGTTTCTGAGAAGCAGGTGGTAAGTTTGAACCGCCAACCTTGCAGTTCAAACTGACATTGAGGTTGAGTGCTTATCCTATGATATCACATCAGGACTCCAGTTACTGCTTAGCCCGAGCAATTCCATTTAGATAAAGCCAGAAGCACATTAATAATTTGTTAAAAGCACAGTTATTTGTAAGGACATTAGAACCCTTGGGGTAGGAAGAAAATCCCTAACACATTTTTTATGTACATGAACACAGTTTTCAAGAACACTCCTATTCCCAACTACACACAGTATCTCTTTTTAGTCTGCACATGAGATGTGCAAAAAAACCCAAACATGGTCAGCTTGTCTTGACAGCAGTCAGTCCAATGAGTCTCTACAAACAAGTATGGGGGAGGGGAAGGGCATCCCCATTGCATTACTAGACTCTACTAAAAGTGAACTAAGAATTATTTATCAACTCTAATATAACCCAATGAGTCTTTGGGTGGGAAAAAATGCTTAAGCACTGGACTATCAAATGAAAGGTTGGTAGTTCAAATCCACCCAGGGTCACCTTGGAAGTAAGAAATGGCTACCTGCTTCTAAAACATCACAGCCTTATAAACCCTTGGTGTTGTTGTTAAGTGCCACCGAGTGAGTTCTGACTCATAGCGACCCTGTATAGGGTTCCCGCAGAGCAGCTGGTGAGCTTGAACCGCCGAACCACTGACCTTGCGGTTCAAACCGACTTTGCAGTCGAGCACATTAACCCTCAGTGCTTCACCAGGAGTCCTTATAGACCCTACATAGTGATTTTAAGCTGCACACATGGGGGCTTCATAGGTTGAAATTGGCTCAACGGCAACTAGCAACAACAGAAAGCAGAATTCAAACATTTATTCTCAAGTCCTTCAATTCCAAATGTTTGAGGTAATTATATTAATTGAACAGTAATTTAATTAATACTATTCGGTGGTTCAAGCTCACCAGTCGCTCCTCAGAAACCCTGTATAGGGTTGCTATAGGTCAGATCCGACTCGATGGCGCTTAACAACAACAACAACAATTTAGTAACAAAATGTTTACAAACTCAGTTATATTTGCATACATCTCATAAGAATAAAGCAGGGCTTCAAACCAGTTCTTTCTAGTTTAGTCACACCCAAGATGCAAACCCTGAATGAATCTGAGTATCTAAAATGTGATATACTGGATGTACTGGATGATGCCCTGATAGAAACTTAGTTTCTCTCTAGAAAACAAAGGCAGTGCACTTGCTGCAGACCAACCAAATCCCTTGATCAGAACAGTAGGAAACAACACTGTCCAGTTCAAAGATGGCAGCCAAAGCATAACTTTAAGTGTATGTCACTCCCCACAGTGATAACAAAAATCCAATAATCCAATAACCGATATCAGATTCCTGAAAGGGCTCACTAGGTGTCTTCCGAGTCTCCCATTCCAGGGTTTTGACTTGTAATTTGTTCTGTACACCTACACTTACAAATTCAGAACTGTTCCAATTTCACTGAGTTAACCCCGATGGACCTATCTGAGTCATTATTGAACCATTTTCAAACCCTGTTGTTGTTGTTGTTATTGCATGTGCAAAATTCCAAATCCTAGTATAATATAAATATATGTGCTGACTACAAAGTAGGTTTGAACCTCAAGGTTGGCTGTTCACACTCACCAGCTGCTCTTTGGAAACCCTATACAGGGTAGTTATGAGTTGGAACAAACTCAGTGGCACTAAGCAACAAGTCAAAATAAAGTAAACCATTTGAAAGCAAATCTCAGGTCATGTATAAACACAATGTGTGTTTACAATGTTGCACAAAAATCAGATAATTTCAAGGTTCTTCAAACAATGCTTCATGTATCATATACATATTTGGTATGCTATTGCAAGACCATCATCTTAACACTGGGTCTACAGAATCCCTGAGAATTTTCCTATGGGGTCACTCAGATAATTCCAGTATATCCTTGTCAGATCTGACATGGAAGACTTCTGGAGGGTCTGGGTGAGCTATAAGGCATCTAAATGTGAAGGAGTTAATATCTGACCCAGGATGCAAATATTCACCAAGTAAATTCTGAAAGGATTCATAGAAAAAAGAAAAGTGAACACACTTCTCTCTGATCAATATCTGCAACTTGCCAACTAACTAACTAACAATAAATGTCCAATGGAATGGACATCTTCAGTAAAAACTTACTTTACACTGAGTTTTGATAACTGATTTTGCAATTGTATAAGTAATCCCTTTAAATGTCATACTTCCAAAGTTTTTGATTAAACAAATACTGTTAAATGAAATTACCTATTTTTTTAACAGAAATTATCATGCAATCAAATTTGAAGGCTTTTTTAAAAAAACAACAACCTTGAAACAGATTAAATTTTTAAGAGAAAAATAGATTAGAGAGCTATGGTATATATAACTGAATGATGAAATTCATAAACTAAAAATTAGTAGGACTGAAAATTACATTTTTTAAAAACTGAAGACACCTGGGAAATGCTTATGGCATATTAAGTGAACATCAAGAAGCTATATATTTAATCACACGAGGGGACAAAGGCAATGCAATATGTGAAAAATTTACAAATCTTAATTAGAAAGATGGGATAAAAGGTAACATTTATATTTATAAAAAACTATCATAATATTTCAATAAAATAAGTTGTTTTGAATTAATGGACCTACAAAGGGATTTTATTGAAATCAGGTTGTTCCAACAAGTGATAAACTATTTTTCTAGAATTTCTTCTTAAATAGATTTAATTATCGTGTAATTCACAGTTCTTTACATCATTAGATAGCAATAAGCGTAAATGCTGTTAGAATGAATGAAAAAAAAATGCTATGTACACGAAGAGGTAGAATAAATCATAGAAGAAAAGCAAAAAGGTCATATGAAGAAATCTCAAAACACTCATATTTCTATTAAACTCTTGACATTTTACTTAATGATAAATTAATAGCATACACAGATTTGAATATAATCCTTCCAAATTTAAGACAACATAAACAAGAGGAAATTTATTACAAACTAACTTTATAAAACACTACTTAGGAATTACTATTACAACTTTCTTTGTGGTAGTTACTAACAACTGTTAACACAAGTGCTATGTTTAAGTCACTATGTATACAGTCCCATTCAAGTAAATCTTCCCATTATTAAAACAAAAACAAAAAGTCTAAGTATCAGATTAAAAGATATACACTTATGATAAGTCCACGTTGTATCTCTTACCTAAAGCAGAGATCCAATATGGATACAGCTCCTTGGTAAGAAGTGCATCCTCAATGTCAGAGAGAAAACATTTCAGCACACCTGTCACATCCTCGAGTTGATGTTTCCCAGCCCTCAGCTTAAAGCTTCTTGCATCCTTTCTGAAATTCTCCAAAAGTTCACTTATGCGCAAAGCATCCCCATCCTTTCGATAGATATATTTACATCCTAGACCTGTGTTTTCAAATAAAGGTAAGAAGAAGGAAAAAAAAATGTTAGTTGAAAATCAAAACCCAGTATGATAGTTAAAAACATAAAATTTTGGGGGGGTTGGTATGATGAACAAGATGAATAAGCCATCCAAAAGAGCTTTTATAAACATTATGAAGAGTGGGGGATCTCTCACCCTAATTTTAGTCAAGGGCAAACCTGATGAAGCAATATTCCACCCTCAGCTTTTAGCAAGCTCCTAAATCAATTTCTTCAGCTCTCATTAAGTATCTTTTCAAGTGCTTCTTTACATCACATGGCCTATCTTCCCATGTGTTTGTTGTTGTGATTCATAGTGATCCTGTATGGCGTTTCCAAGGAGCAGTTGGTTATATTGAACTGCTGACCTTGTGGTTCAAACTGACCTTGCAGTCCGGCACATTAACCCGCAGTGCCACACTAGCACTCCCATCTTCAACCAGAATACAAGCTTGCCTCCAAATTTACCAACACAGATAAGGTTCTGATATCAAGCTCCTCAACCTTCTGCCTCCACATCTGTTTAATATTTTCGCCACAAGTACATTATTCCAGAACCAGGTCATTTCCCTTTCAAAATTAGTGATTTATCAAGTGGCAAATGTAAGGATAATAAGAATAGCAGAGGTGATGGTGATAATGATACAAATATAAAACTCCTCTTTTGGTTCTTTCTTAGGTCTCTCCTTCTAAAATCACACTGAGTTTCCTATATTTACTCTTTTGATGGTTTTACATTTCTATATTCCTTTAAAGAGTCCAGATTAAGTACTGAGTTACTAACCGAACAGTTGCATCCCTCAGTGACTCTGTGGGAGAAAAATGAGGCAGTCTGCTTCCATAAAGATTTATAGCCCAGAAACCCTATGGGACAGTTCTGGGTTTTTCCTTTAATATTTCAGTCAACTCCATGACAGTGGGTTTGGGTTTGGTATTCCTTTAACCAGATAATCTTGCTTCTGTGTCCAAGTCCAATTCTAAAGGAACCATCTTCATTAGGAACAGAAGTGACATTCTATTGTTTAATATCTTTTTTTTTTTTTTTTGCTATGAGAATATCCTGCCACATTAGACACTAGAAATTATTTTCTGTTCCAATTATTTGAATCCTATGGCTTTCATGTTATCATGATCTCATGGGTACATACATAGTTTATATTACTATTCCTCTGTGGCTACTATCCTGATAGTCTATTATTCTGCTCATCTAGGATTAACTGATGACTGCAGATATCATCAATTATTTTCTACTTTCCCCTTTATAAATTCTTTCAGGTAAGTCCATCCAACCTCATCATCTTAACTACTACATATTGACTTTCATCCAGGATTTCATATCCAGAATTACACGCACACTATTTTGTTGTTGTTAGGTACTGCCAACTCAGTTCCAACCCATAGTGAACCTAAGTACAATAAAACAAAATACCACCTGACCCGATGCCATCCTCATAACTGCTGATACACTTGAGCCCATTGCTGCTGCCACTGTGCCAATGCACCTCATTGATGATCTTGCTCTTTTTTCACTGACCCTCCACTTTACCAAGCATAGAGTCCTTCTTCAGGGAGTGGTCCCTCCTGAAAATATGTCCAAAGTATGGGAGATGAAGTCTGGTTATCTTGGTTCTAAGGAGCATTCTGGTCATACTTCTGCCAACAGTTTTTTCAACTGTTCTTTTGGCAGTTGTGGTACTTGCAATATTTTTCTCAAATACCATGACTCAAACACATGAAATCATCTAAGGTCTTCCTTATTCACTGTCCAATTTTCAAATGCATATGATGCTACTGAAAATACCATGAGTGGGGGGAGGGGCAGGTACACCTTAGTCCTCAAATTGACATATTTGCTCTTGAATACTTTAAAGTGTTCTTGTACAGACTTGCCTAATGCAATATGTCATTTCCTGACAGCTGCTTCCATGAATGTTGATAGTGGATCCAAGCAAAGTGAAGTCTTTGACAACATCATCATGATGTTATTTTTTGGTCTAGTGAGGATTTTCGTTTTCTTTACATTAAGGTGCAGCTGATACTAAAGGCTGTGGTCTTTGATCTTCAGAAGTATTTTAAGTCCTCTTCACTTTCAGCAAGCAAAGCTGGATTACCTGCGTATCACAGGTTGCTAATGAATCTTCCTCCAATTCTGATGCCATACTCTTCTACATAAAATCCAGTTTCTAGGATTATTTCTTCAGTATTCAGATTAACTAAGTATGGTGAAAGAATACAGACCTGACAAATACCTTTCCTGATTTTTAACCCATTCAGTATCCCTTGCTCTGTTTGAATGACTGCCACTTTGTAGAGGTTCCTCATGAGCACAATCAACTGTTCTGTAACACACATTCTTCACAAAATTATCCATTGATTGTCATCTTTCTGGTATTCTCTGCTTTCAGCCAAGAGACGTCAGCAATGAGAGTCCTCATTCCGTGTCCTTGTTTGAATCTGGCTTAAACCTACCGATGGTAGTTCTCTGTTGTTGTACTGTTATAACCATTTTTGAATTATCTTTAGCAAAAATTTTCTTTCATGAAATATTAATGATATTGTCCGATGACTTCCTCATTCCATTTGGTTGCCTCTCTTTAGAATGGGCACAAATATGGATCTTTTCAAATCGGTTGGCCAGGTAGCTGTTTTCCCAATTTCTTGGCATCAATGATTGAGTGTCTTCAGTGCTACATCAGTTTTTTGAAACATTTCAATTTATATTCCATCAATTCCTGATGCTTTGTTTTTTGTTTTTGATTTTTTAACCAATGCCTTTATGCACCTTGGAGTTCTTCATTCAGTACCAATGGCTCTTGATCATATGCTACCTTGTGAAAATGTTGAACACCAACAAGTTCTTTTGATGCTTTATATATTGGTGACATAGCTTCCAGAATCATAGCGACAGACAGCCACTACAATAAAACACACTAACATAGGAGTGGTGGAATAAAGAAGTTATAATGTATGAAATTTGGCTGAAAATAACCTATGCTTAATGAATCTAAGTTTAAATCAAAATCACAAGGTAACTTCTGATTCCCCTAAGGGAATATTAAATTGACTAAAATAAAGCTAGTCAAGTTACTATAATCATTTGTCAGCTTAAGAAAGAGCCTATGTCATTTGGAACTAGCGTGAAAATTCTCAATGTCATGCTCTTTCTAAAAAATAATTCATGTAAATTTCACAAATACTTGCAAACTACAGGTGCTCTAAAACTGAATGACAGTAATGAATGAAAACAATTACCTAATTTTCCTCATATTTTCAAATAAACAGATGCTTATAGTTGATAAAAATATAAACAAACTATCATAGGAAGGAACTTCATGTGGTATAGTCTACATATGTGACTAGATATACATTTAGAAGTAGATATGTGATATCAACATAAACACAATGAAACTGGACATTAATGATAATGATACTTGAACTTCAAAAAGCTTGTGGCAAATGAAATGTAATAAGAGAGTTAATAGAGTTTTCCAGTGAACATTTTTAAGTTCCATGGTAGAAAATAAGTAAAATACTTAAAATATCATTGCCCCAGAAAGAAAAAATATTAAATATACGTACTTAAATTTTAAAAAATATTGTCTTTATAGCATTTGCTTTTCTCCTGATATTTTGTTACATATCATTTCCAGTTTCCTATATTAAACATAGTATCATGACTTTTACACTACTGTTGTATTTCCAATACTGAAACCAGCAAATAGTACATAATAGGCACTTCGTAAATAAATATAGACACTATAACATCGTATTTTACTGCAGTGTTACCATTAATTATAATTACTTTTCAAATTAAAAACACCCAAAGAAAACTTTGGTATGAAATGAAAAAAAAAAAAGTTAAGACATCCAGATCAAACAGTTTACTTTTTCCATGTTTGTTGTCTAAATAAATGATATTTATCTACAGATTTAAAGGTGTAACCATTTCTGTATGAAAATATACTTATTATATTTCTACCTTTTTCAGTATGCAGGAAAGATGTGATAGGAGGAAAGAATTTAAAGTATTCCGAATAATTTGTATAAGTTATTTAATAATTTAATGTATTTCCTATTATATGCAGAATAAAAGTTACTTTACAGGCACATGTGAAATATTTCCATAGCATGTTAAATTAAATGACGGCGGACATATACATCCTATTCTTTATTTGCAAACTACTGATATAAATAACTGCTGTAAATAAGCCCAAAATATTAAAATTCAGAATATTTTTTAATATAAATCTGTAACCAATAGCATTGGGAATGAAATATACACATTGTATGCACACACATGAAAAGCAATAGTTTTATAAATTATTCCATAGTTTACACTTCTAAAAACAACTTTTAGCACATTGATTTTCTTGGGACTTTTTTCTAAGTTTATAGGCTCTGAAGAAAACAATCTTTAACCTACTATTTTTAATGTTATGGTTTATAGTATATCTTCTTTCCATATGTCACTTAAAAATGTTACACATGAAAGGAAGAAGGGAATGCTAAATGTAACTATAAAATGATACAATGCATAATGTGTATGAGTTTTATTGGGAAACGAAATAGCAGTTAACTGAACAGTGACTACATTTATATTTCTCACTAGTGTACTTACAAATATAAAGGGTTTTAATTCAGTCCAATAGCAGTACCACTTAAAAGCTGTTAGAATGAGACTGAGTTCTTGAGTTCTGGGGTTGAGTTAAAAACATTGTGCTACTCACCATACTGTGTAACAAATGCTATACAGCTGTTCACAATAATGGGAACGTCATTTTTGCTGAGCTGCTGATCTTGTAACGCATTACCATCTGTACCTGCTGCTTTTTCAATTGCAGTATGCCAGACTGTGAAATCCAACTTGGTATGCCCATGGATGTATAATGTTCTGTAAAGTTTAAAAAGCATTTCAAATTACATATACATATATATATATATCTTACTTCAGGACACTTAAATACATATAAATGTGGTCCAATCTGACCTATGTAAGAAAACTTTGCCCTTACCCTCCATCTACTACTAGCTTCCATTCAATCTCTATTCTCCCTCTATAGTCATGTCTCTCCATGATGCTTGTTCAGACAAGAATTTGTGATCACAGCTCCTTTCATTCCTCAGTCCCTGTTACTCTGTTTCTGAATAAGTGAGCTAAAACTGTTCAGTAAGGCATCATCAGTGACTTCTAATGGATATTTCTGGCTGCACTTTCCAAGATTTTAGAACTGGTAGTGATTCTTAAAAAGAGGGGAAAAATACCACCCAATGAGACTCTCATAGCCCAATTCTTCCAGCCTTTTCTCTTTAGTCACTTTGTTTCTGAGGCTGACTTCCTTTTTCTGAACGAGAGAGTTATATTTCATGTACACTAGAGCCCTGCTGGTGCTGTAGGATAAGCACTGGACTGCTAACCACAAAGTCAGGAGTTCAAACCTGCCAGAAAGAGGAGGCTTTCTGTCACTGTAAAGATTCAGTCTCAGGAACCTTATACAGAGTCCCTATCAGTCAGAATAACTTGATGACAGTGAGTTTGGGTTTTTCTGGTTTAATCAGTGTATCCATAAAAGCCCAGGACTCTCCAGACACTTCATTCAGGCCAGTGATTTCATCTTCCCTATGTAAGTTGCTGGTATTAACTGGGCTTCCCTGTAGGCGCATGGATATTATCCTATCACAGACAGCATTGTACTTCATGACTGATCCGGATATGTTCTTTTTGACAATAAATGCAACACCATTCCTCTCCAATTTGTCATTCCTGGCATAGTAAACCATATGGTTGTCAGATTTAAACTGGCCAATATCAGACCATTTCAGCTCACTAATGCCTAAGATATCAATGTTTATGCATTCAATTTCATTTTTGACAACTTCCAATTTTCCTAGATTCATACTTTGTACATTTCATGTTCTGATTATTTATGGATGTTTACAGATGTTTCTCTTCTTTTTAAGTTGTGCTCCATCAGCAAAACAAGGTCCTGTGGGATTTACTCCCACGGGCTTTACTTCATTCATATCATCACGGTCAACTCTACTTTGAGGAGGCAGCTCTTGCCCAGTTGAATTTTGAGTGCTTTCCAACCTGAGGGTCTCATTTTCTGGAACTGTATCTGACAGTGTTTCTCTGCTATTCATAAGGTTTTCAGTGACTAAATATTTGGAAGTAGTTCATCACTCCTTCTTCCTAGACTGTCTTCCTCTGGGAACTCATCTGCAACCTGTCCACCATGGTGACCCTGCTGGTATTTAAAATACCCATTGCATAGCTGCCAGAATCACAGCAACTCACAAGCCACCACAGTACCACAAACTGAAAAGACTGAAGTTGTCAGGAGTTCATTCTTTTTTGGATTAACTATCAACACTCATGGAAGCAGCAGTCAAGAAATCAAACATACTGCATTCAGCAAATCTGCTGCACAATACCTTTTTAAAGTGTTCAAGGGTAAAGATGTCAGCTTGAGGACTAAGGTGCGTTTGATCCAAGCCATGGTATTTTCAATAACCTCATATGCATGTGGAAGCTGGACAGTGAATAAGGCAGTCTGAAGAAGAATTGATGCTTTTGAGTTATGGTGTTGAAGGAGAATATTGAAAGTGCCATGGGCTGCCAAAAGAACCAATAAATCCATTTTGGAAGAAGTACAGCCAGAGTGCTCCTTGGAGGCCAAGATGGCCAAACTTCATCTCTCATATTTCAGGAGGAATCAGTCGCTGGGGAAGGCTATCATGTTTGGTAAGGCGGAGGGTCAGCGAAAAAGAGGAAGACCCCCAGTGAGATGGATTGGCATCGATGGACTTAAGTTTGGCAACAGTAGTGAGGCTGGTCCAGGATCGGGCAGTGTTTTGTTCTGTTGTGCACAGGGTTGCTATGTGTAGGTACTGACTCGATGACACCTAACAACAACAACAACAATGTAAGTTGGTAAATCACAAACACATATCTCTAAGTTATAACTTTCTCTTATCAATAAGATAGATCTCCATGTAACTAAAATGCCAGTGGCATCATTAGGGAGATATGTGGGGGTGAGGAGGGTAGTGGGTCACACTAGATGAGCTGGAACTGACTTAATGGCACTTAAACAACAACAACATATCTACAGCTAGTTATTAACAACAGAAATAATTTTCATAAGCCCAGCTTACATGTGTCAATATACATTCAAGTCTAAAGGTCTAGACTAATTTTAATTTTTGAACTTTTTAATGTGCTCCTGTCAGAACTGTCATTATTACCCAATCACAACAATACTTTGAAATGCACAGCTCCATTTGCACAAGCTACAAACACATGCTGCTGCTTTTGATGCTGTTGGTGTTTTTACAGTCACTGAATTTGTTAAACTTTCTGGTCTTTTAGCTTTGTTGTTGTTAAGTGCCGTCGAATTGGTTTCAACCCATAGTGACCCTGCACCGGGTTTCCGAGGCTATAAATCTTTATGGGATCAGAAAGCCTCATCTTTCTCCCGTAGAGTGGCTGGTAGTTTTGAACAGCTGACCTTAAGGTTCGCAGCCTGATTCGTAACCACTATGCTACCAGATCTCGAATTGGTATTTGTGAACCAACGTCAATAATGTTTTTGAGAATGTAGTTAAAGGAAAAGAAGGAGAGAAACAAAAAAGGCTCGTTTACTAAAAACGCTGCAATGATGCTATAATTCATTGTAGAAATATTTCACAGAACTTTATTCGTATGCAGGCACTCAAGAAATTCTACGTTTAAGAAAATTATAACTATAACATGTATTACTGTACTATTAAAATGGATAATGAACATTACTAAGGATTCAGTATGATCTGAATGGAGGGGACAGTGCGAATCATTGCTCTAGGTAACACGTACCCTAGTGACGGTACTGTGAAAGGCAATATACCAGAGCAGTTAGGAAGGTGGGAACTACAGTCAGATTTTCCTAACTCAGAGTTTAGCTCTACCATTTTCATCCTTTGTGACCTTGGAAGTTTCATCATCTGTAAAATCAAGGAACAATATCTTTACCTAGTACCAAAACCGCACTGCTATCGAGTCAATTCTAATTCATGTTGTTGTTAAGTGCTGTCAAGTTGAGTCGAGATCCTGTATAGGGTTTCCAAGGAACAGCTGGTAAGCTTGAACCACTGGCTATGCAGTTCAAATGACTTTGCTGTCTGACTCATTAGCCCACAGTGCCACACCAGGATACTGACCCTATAAAATCTGGTAAAAACTGCCTCTGGGTTTATAGAAGTAGACTGCCTTAGCTGCTAGTCAAAAGGTTGGGCGTGAAGTGCTAATCTTTTGGCTAGCAGCTGAGTGCTTAGTCACTGTGTTACCAAAGCTCCTTATAGTTACCTAAGCACTCAAAAAATGGGATAATACTCTTTATGTAATAAACAGCAAATAGGAACTAAGATTTCCTTTTGGACATTGCCTTAATGAGCAACAGGCACACAACACTTTTCTCCTTTTTCATACTAATCTGCTTTCAGCAGACATGGAAAAGCTTTGGAGAAAAGGGAAGGAGGGGAACAGAGAGGGAGAAGAGGGGACTTGTGTTTACAGTATATGCGTCCTGTTCTTTATCTGGTTATTCCAGACACTGCCCCAAAGTTATACTCCAGTGGCCTTCCCTGTGTCTTCATTCCTGATTGCCTTTTTGCATTTCTTGTACAAAAGGTGTCCTTTCTTAATCCTCCAACAGGCACCTTGTCCACCAATATACCACCAATTTTATCAATCATAACAATGTTTTAGCTACTAGGACACAAAATCTTTGTAGACAAGCTGGAAAGTATGTATCCATGCATCAGACTGCAAAGTCGTTTGAACTGCAAGGTCGGTGGTTCAAGCTTACCAGCTGCTCCTTGGAAACTCTATACAGGGTCACTATGGGTCGGAATCAACTCGACAGTACTTAACAACAACAACAAAAAGTTGCTGTGTGGAATCCTGGTGTGGCGCTGTGGGCTAATGCATCAGACTGCAAAGTCATTTGAACTGCAAGGTTGGTGGTTTAAGCTCACCAGCTGCTCCTTGGAAACTCTATACAGGGTTACTCTGAGTCAGAATCAATTCGATAGCACTTAACAATAACAACAAGTTACCTTGTGACCATTGTGAGAATGGCATAGTACCACCGGGCAATGTCTCGGTCTGTTGTACATAGGGTTGTTACAGGTCAGAACCAACTCAATGCCACCTAACAACAACAACAGTTACTGTGATACTGCAGGAAAACCAGTGGACTGCTAACCACAAGCTGCTCCGGGGAAGACAGATGAAGCCTTTGACTCCAGTAAAGACTGAAAGTCTATGATCCTGTACAGGGATGCTATGAGTCGGATTCTACTCAATGGCAGTGAGTGAATGAGTTATGAGGACTGAATCCTAAGGGTTTCAGTACTTAGCAATATGAACCAACTCCACAGACAAAGGCCTGGTGAAGTGCTTCCATAAAGGTGGTTGTTGTGAAGTGCCATAACAGCCCTGTATAGGATTTCCGAGGAGCAGCTGGTGAGCTTGAAGCACCAACCTTGCAGTTCAAATGGCTTTGCAGTCTGCCGCATTAGTCCACAGTGCCACACCAGAACCTCTACATAAAGGTTACAAGCCAAGAAACCCAATTAAGAGTTCTACTGTGTAACATACACAGTCACCATGAATCAAAATCAATTTGACAGTAATGGACTTATGGTTGGATTTTCTTTTCTTTCCTTTTTTTGTTCGTAGTGCCTGCCAGGAACACTGTGGATATAGTGTGTTATCCATTAGGCTGCTAACCTCAAGTACAGTAGCTCAAATCCACCAACCACTTCACAAGAGAAAGATGAGACTGTACGCTCGCATATAAGACAACAAAGTACAGTGGTGACAATTTAGTTTTTAAACCCAATCTATAGATA